GGGAAAGAGAATCGCACTGAAGTATGGGAGGAATGAGAGAGAAGGCATAGCCAGCAGATAGGTACAGCTGTGAATCTATCGATGTGGTCTTCTGAAGGCAACATCTGCCTGAAATAGAATTTCAAGTGTTGGCAGTTAGGCTGCTGTTGGTTTATATAGTGACTTCCTCAGCTGAGCAAGGAGGCAGGAGAACAGATTTATGGTCAGGAACACTGAGGACCCCACCAGTGATTCAGAGAGAAAAAATAGCTTCTTTGGTCATTTGCTATTTCTTAGTTGTTGAATAATTAGCTGACACTTTAAGTTCACCTGCAAAGTTGTTTAAATAGGGGAAATATGAGAGTTGATTTCTTACTTTTAACAAACTGATGTGTTAAACCACAGGTTAACCACACAGGTAATATAGGCAAGGAAATGAAGCTCTCTATACAGGTTTTGCTATATGGTGACGTTCTGAAATAGGCCTGAACTGCATGTACTTTCATAACTACATATAATTAAAAAAAAAAAGTCTTCCTTATAATTTCTCAGATGTATCATACGTCGATACTTTTCAGTTAAGGAAAGAGTAGGAAGAACAATGAGAAAATAAACAAAAGAATCCACATGATTTTCAGTGTTTATCCCTAAAATAATTGTTGTGCTGTCCTTCCAACCTGTCCTGCCAGAATGTGGTGAAGAGGATATGTCACATTTGGTTTCAACTATCCGATAAAGTAGCTTTTGAAAATAAAAGCTACCATTTTGGCATTGACCTCTTTATATTCAGCAGAAGTAGAAAAGCTGAGGAATAACGTGACCATGCTGTGTTTCATATGATGTGTAGGCAGTACATTTTCTAATTTTCAGCAACGGTATGCTGTTACAGATAAAGCAATGTATTTTATTAGTTTCTAGTGCCAAACTGAAACGGAAAAAAAATTGGTTTGGAACAACTTTCTACACGGAATTAACTGCAGATGGAGAAATTAAGAAAACAGCAAAATCAAGTAGTTCTTCAAATCCAAAATGGGATGAGCAGCTGACAGTGTAAGTAGATTTTTTGGTTGTTTAATACTATTTATTAGGCAGACATTGCAGACAAATATTTACTAAGCTTGGCTGCCTACATAGTTTTCTCTGGCTGTTGATGACTAAATGCAGTCCTAAGATGGTATTTATCTCAAATGAATTTTTTTTTCTCGATTCCTACAGTCTTTTGAGAATATTTTTTTGAACAAAAAGTATTCCTTGCATACAGTTGCTATACACGGTATACTTGTGATATTTGTTCACAGTGTGGACCATTCAAGTTTAAGATTCCTGTCTAGAAGATGTTACTAATTGTAACTGCGTCATTCTCTACTTTAAAAGGAAAAAAATCTCAGCTGGATAAGTTGTAGTTATGAGGCAGGTCACTTCTTTAAATTTCCTAATGAAGGGATACAAACAGGAAAACAATTTACTGCAAAGTGACCTTGCAACTTATCCTAATATTTAACCTTTTAAATCTTCTTCTTGTTTAATTTGGTTTAACTGTGCTACAGGTGTAGATATACCTGAATATGACTCTATGAAGAACTGGCAATCTTGCACTGTGCGATTGGCTAGAATGCATTATTAGAAAAGCAAGATTGTACTGCTTCAGATTGGGGTCTGGAAACAGCGTAGCTACTGTGAAGTGGCATTGAGCATGGGCCGGTACATTTTAGAGCCTCTGACCTGTCTTTGTGCAATAGCCTGCCTTGTTAGGAGGCGGAACCATACCAGGTTCCTGTAAGTAACAGTGCTGGAGAGTGGGGAGTGTTACAACATGCCTAACTTTGGGAATTGTTTGCTTGGGAACACTTATTAACTACAGACCTGGGCTGAAGCAAGTAGGGTGTTCGTGTGCCACATTTCTCAATGTTTCAGGTTTAGTGGAGCTTGTCAGCCCTTTGCAATATTGCAAAAGACAATAATATAGTCTTGGATCTGACGATGATTTCCAGGAGTTATTACTAGCACAAGTACAGAGCTATCAGTATATTCACAGAGACGAGATTTTCTGTTTAGGAGGCAGGTTTGTTTTGGCAGGATTTGGTGAGGTGATAGAAATGAGGTATTTTGGCATGTACAGTACAGCCAGACTCATTCGATCATCAGTATTACTTACTTAGGATCTTACTCTTATATGTGAACTCTCTGGCTTACCAAATTCCCCTCGGTTCTGTGGGTCTGCATGAACACCAGCAATATATTCTTCGTGTGTAGGTGGGTTTTTTTTCTTTTCTCTTCTGAGCAGGTCTTTTAGTAAGACTTCCATTAGAAGGCAGCCTGTTCAAAATGCAGAAATATATTTGCTCATGGGTTTCAGCAAAAGTGATCCACGTTGCCCAGCATGTTCAAGTGACTGTAAAGCTAGCCCTGTTGTTGGGAGGGTGGTGTTGGTTTTAGTATTGCTTTCATCAATGCTGATATAACTTTCTGTATCCAATACTGATGGTTGTGGCCTTTGACTTTTTGCAGTACAGTGTTTCTGCTCCATTTTTGACTGCCAGGAGCACTCTTGCAGTACTAGACCCTGTACTACAAAGCTTACTCTCCAGGACCTAGCATAGCTTCACATTTTCCTTCTTGAGCAGGGGAGAGATCACTGCCAAAGGTTATCATACTACTACTGTAACTGGGTCCTTTACCTTTCTGCTTCCCTCTAGTTTTTACTTTGGCTTCATCATTTGATTTTTCCCCTCTGATTTCTGTGAGTATGCATTATGGTTTTGTGTATATTTGTGAATTCACAAACAAAGTTTTATCAACATTTCCATGGCAAGCTGACACCCATTAAGTGGGTTCTTCCTGCTTGCAAGTAGCTGATTGGTTGCTTTTCCCTTTTTAAAAAATATTTAGTGTTTTTCTTTCTAGTGACAGACAAATATACTTACCAGCTTTTTCTCCACATTTAGTAATGTGAGTTTTTAGTTAGAATCCTGGAATAGTGAGCAATAAGGAAAATATGTCTTTCATAAATAAAGGTAGATATGTTTTATTTAACTGAGATTTGAACTTAGTGTAGGTTATTCTGATACTACTCAAATTCCTTATGCTATCATAGCATAACATAGCACTTTAAGTTTGATCTTAAGTATAAATATCAGTGTTTGCAGTTCTTAATTAAAAATTTCCCCATGCAGTACGAAAACTTTTTTCAGTTAATTAGTATCAAGAAATTTAATAAATATGAGAAAATGAATTAAGTTCAAATACTCCTAATAGCAAGAACGACTACTTTAAAATCTGTATATATTTTTTAAAAAAATGTATTTTATATGCAGGAATGTGACTCCACAGACTACGCTGGAATTTAGAGTGTGGAGCCATCACACTTTAAAAGCAGATGCTTTATTAGGAAGAGCCACTGTAGACTTGAGACAAGCTTTGGAAATACACAATAGAAAATGTAAGTTATCATGAAGAATATTTTGAGTAAAGTGGAATTATTATTACTAATCTATATATCAAACTGGCAACCAGACTACTAACTATATACGTAATTACAACTGAGTTTCAGTTGATGTCTTTATTTGTCTCTTCTAGAGATGTCTGTGCTATTGAGAACAATTTAAATGTAACAATGGGATATAATAATTTTGAAACAAACATTAGAGTATGAGTTACTACAAATGAAATAAAAGTGAAAGTGATAAAATACAATGTTTTGTGGCAAACTAATAACAAATTTGCTAGAAGATCTGGTTTAGACTTGGTAAAAAAAAAAAGTCTAAACTTTCAGAAAAGCCATCTATGTAATTTTTCATGTTTTCCTTCTCTGGAATCACTAATAGAAAGGCTGAATATATTTCCTTCATAATTTAGCTGCCCAGAGAGCAGGAGGAACCACTGATTAATGAAACAATTGAGAACTTCCTTTCAGTACATTAGAGATTGTTGTGTTCTGTGTAACTTCTAATTTTAATTGTCTTTAATACAGTTAAAACAGGTCTTCTTTATCGAATTTGCTTTTTAAAATTTTTTTCGCTAGTACAAGAAGATGGTAAATCCACACTTTAAATTCCACTCCAGAGTGGCAGTAGAATTCCAGCTAAAATAATCTCTAAGCTTTATGACAAGTTAGATATACAAACCTGAGAACTCTGTTTTAGGGAGGCAAGGGGAAAAGAGAGCCGACAAAAAGCTTCATTTTTCTTATTCTTATAGAAAATTGAATCAGAGTCCAAAATCAAGTGGGAATTCTTCAGCAATATTATAAAGATTCTGCCCAAGATTCCATAGTAAAGCAGAAAAATTGCTTCTTTTTTAAATTAAAAAAGCTGTATCAGAAGAAATTAGGTTGTAGTAATGATAGCAAAAAAAAAAAACCCCTAACAAAATAGTTAATATTTTATTACTGTAGATGAGAGGATGTAAGATCCAACAACTTGGCAAATTCTTTCAGGGAATGGTTGACTGAGTGAGATGTACATTGCACCAAAAGTAATTTATGTGCAATGTTTCTGATTTGTGCAAGTCAGCAGTTTGACACACATGGGATTATCCAGTAATTCAGTGGTAGAATAATCTGATTGGTATCCTTCAGTTGGTCAGTTATTGATACCTAATCCAATATGCAGCACTTGAAAGACTCTTTACTAAAGAAAATGTAAAGAGGAAGTCCTCTAAATGCAGAAACTTTAGAATTAGTGCTTATTACTTTCTCCTGCTAAATGCCACCAGTATTGAATTGCTGTCCACACCCCTCCCAGCTTTCTTGCCAGCTCAGCTGGACTACAACCAACTGTTGATCTGGTTTGGGGACATAACCTCTTAAAATAGCAGAAGCTAAACCAATCACCCTTTGCAGAAATGATAATTTACAAATATGTTAATTTAACAACTCAGTAGTAGGCTAGTTTCTTCTGTCTCTTGCACGTAGTACCATTTTCCAAAATGCAGATTGCTAAATCACTAATTCTGTAGATTTGGGAGCTTTGTGCTTGCTCCAGCAACTTAAAGTACTTTGAAATCCATTGTAATATAGCGGTGGGTGTCTGCTAGTAACTGCTGCCCAACTACACTGTCGAACCTGCTCTTTAAAGTAACAACTTGTGGATATCTGGCAATAGCTTGTGGTAGCCTTCCCTGTTTTCATGTTTATTGTTCATTTATGACATATAGTAAGAATGAAAAAATAAGGAAATGGTATTTTAATGCATAGACGTGTGCAGTGAGCTTTAACTTTAGCCTGGAATACTATCATATGGAGGGAAATAAGGTGGTATACCTTGAAAAATTAATCTTTTAATCTGAGACCACAAATGCTAAAAGGCCTTAACAATTTTAACCTGACTAATGTGAACTCATAGCTGACTAGTTTTGGATTTATGACATGTAGCTTTAACTGCTGTAGTAGTCATAGTTAATTTAGAGAGAATTATGCAGCATCCACAGCATGTTTTACCTCTGGATTGTGGATGTATCTCTACAGATGTGTGCATTGCTTATCAGTCATATTGAATTCTTTTACTGTACTGTGTACACATTTTTTTGTATATCTCAATTATCTCAAAGTTTCTTTTTGTGAAAATAGTTTCTGATTTAATGTTTTGGTTACTTGAGGTATCCTCTCTGTTGCTATTTTAATCCTTGGAGTTTAGATCTGTGAAAAAGCTAGTCAGGATTTAGTAAAAATAATTTTAAAAAATGAGGAAGGACTCTATGCAATCTTTGCATTTACTGCTTCCTCAAAGTGATGTTCTTTTCAGTGGTCTCTTAGAATTAGTTTTGGAAGATGATATGAGGAATTAACAGAAGCTCTGATTGTAGAATGAGATTCCCCGTCATGTGCAATATTTGGATGTGTAGTTCAGAAGTTGTTTGCCTTTCAGCTGTCTTATGTGAGTAGTGCATAATTTCAAAAAGACTTAGTGGAAACAGCAAACCTGGGAAATCATTAACAACCAAGTACTGAAACCGTGTGGATCCTATAGCATACCTATAGAATATACTATATAAATGGCCTATTTATTTTTACAATAAACTGTGCTTTTACTCACAGCAGATGTAAATTTATGCAACTCCTTAGTGATTTCTGTGTTGATTTGAGTCATCTGAATATCTCTCATGTTCAGTTTTGTACAACTAAATACATGTATCACATTTTTGTGTTGAAAGTCTCTTTTAATGTTGTTTAGAACTTAATCTTTCCTTTATCCCTTCTCTCCTCTCCTCCTGCCCACCCCAACTCCATTTTTAGTGGAGAAGGTGAAAGAACAGTTGAAACTCTCTTTGGAAAACAAGAGTGGCATGGTGCAAACAGGTGAACTGACAGTTGTGCTAGATGGTTTGGTTGTTGAACAAGAATGTCTTACAAATCTCAGTTCATCAGCAACCAGTAAGTTAAAATAATTAAATCAGATGGTAATATTTTGATTAAGATTTCAAACAGATATAATAGAATATTTCTGTTGAATTTGTTTCTTACTGTTCAGTAGAAGTTCAGCAAAATGGCGAGGCTGTGCATGAAAGCAGAGATGCTTCAGCAAGAAGTACATCCAGGTTGGAATTTATTTTTGTGTTTTACACCCTATGAAGTATATTAGCAAATTTATCAGTTGAAATGTTTGGGTTGTTTGTGGTTTTTTTTCTTAAATATTTTTCAAGGCGATAGATTTTAACTGTCAAGCCCTATATTATGTTACCACAGGTTCTAGAAATATTACTTGTATGATAATTACATAATTTAGCTTGAGAAGATTTAAATTTACAACTCTCTTCTTCCTCTGCTGGTAGAGTCTGCTCTCCAGTACTTTGTCATTGCTTCTTGGATGTGTAGCCCTCTGAACATAGAAATTCAACTGACTGGAAGTCTACGAAATACTGCAGCAGAGATTAGGGGAGCAGTGGTTCAGTGTGGTTTTGTGTACTTACTCCATTTGTTTTCTTCTACTGTTTAAGAACCATTTCTGTTCATGTCTACCAACTTGTTGCAAAGTACCATCTGAACAGAAGGAAGAGGAAAAAAAAGCCTAAATTACTTCCCCCTCACCCAGTTCCTTTTTGAGGTCATGATCAGAGATTTGTTTAAGAGACTTGAGTTTAGGAAGCAGTACTCAGAACACTGAAGCAAAGAGTTTGCCTGCTTCAACCTGAAGTGGCAAGGAAAAGGCTTTGGGATCAATTTAGAACTTCATTCGTGGCTTCTCTATCTTTATACCAGCTCAAAGACTGCCCGGGGAGAAGTAGGAGTAGATTGTTTACTCCCTCACCACTAGTGAGTCAAACAGGTCAACATTCAGATCAATTTAATGTTACTGGCCTGCTCATTTACCTTGCAGTGAGCCCCTTTCCATTTAGGTTCTTGACACACAATAGAGTGAAAAAGCATACAGTTGCTATGCATTTGAGTGACAGGGACACATTTGTCCTTGTATGCTTGGCTTTATTTTTTTGAGTATGTGGAGGTTTGTCTCTGTTCCCCCATGGGTGCCCAATATGAGGGAGTGAGGATAAAAAGTTGCTTCTCCTTAATTTTCATTGGAAAGGTTTGGGACTGTTAAAAGCGATTTGAAACACATCTGCATACCATTTTGAAACAGTAGTAATAATCCTTTGTTTCCATTCAACTGCTGTTGCTGGAGGTGTGGCTTTTACTGGGATCCTGCTCTTGTTGTTATTTTGATTACAGCAGTTTTCCATACAACTATCCAGTGGTTTTGATGTACAGTTTTAAAATTAAGAGACGAGGAAAAGTTTTAAGGTAGCTTCTGTGCATGTCTTCAGGAAGCAAATTGGGTTTGTAGTCTAGAGTTGAAAAAGGATAATACTTTAATTCTCTGTTTATACTACCCCTTTGGAGTTGGGTAAAATAGCATGGAAATGCTGCTGCTTCCTTTCTTACTCTGCAAAGTGGGACTTCTAACAATGCTCACGTTTTTTGTCATCTGTTTAACTTCTCTTTAATTTTTAGCCTCTACTCCTTGAGAAGATGGGGAGTTGGCATTGAATGTAATTTTCACAATATATGTCCCTGGTGGGTGGCTTTAAGCATTTTGGGATAGACTTAATTAAAAACAGTGTAATTGAACAAGACTTTCCATTCACAAGCCCTTACACTACATTTATTTCCATGTGGCCTTATAAACACAGGGCTGCCTATGTGTATCTGTCCTCACAATGTCCCATCATGCCTAGGCATAGAGAAGCTCATCTTATTTTCCTTTTACTGAGGGAGAGTTTTGTTACTTTCTTATGACTAAAATGATTTTTGGAGATATGACAAACAAACCCAATTGTTCCACTTGCTTAATGAAAGAAAAAGTTTTCCTGCTTATAGCTGCACTTTGGCATGGTCCCTAAGGCAGTTTTGGAAGATGTGGGCAGGCGCATCAGTCTGCCCAACTCAATTCTAATATGTTATTACAAGTAAAAGGTGAAGTGGAAAATCTTACCTGTTTCAAGTATCTGAAATCTTCAAAACCAAAATTTACCTTTTGTTCCTTAATTGTTTTGGTCTTGCACTTGACTGTTATCTAGGCTGCAAACATTGTGTTATAAACTGTTGTGAATTTACTTCCATTTCTTTGTTTGCTTCTTTAGTGTGATTTAGTGCAGGATTTGGTTTAGTTGCATAACTGTTAAACATGTTGTTTGTAGTAACCTAAAATGATCTTTTATTTTTACAAAGATCTGCTTGTGACATTTCTAATGGGATAGACAATCAAGTACCCTCCAACTCTGTAGTACAGAATACGTTCTGTATAGAAGCTGTTAATGGAGACAGCACACCATCTCCTACTCATGTTGCAGCCAGACCCAAAAATACACCAGTACCAAAACCACTTGCAGCTCAGCCTGTCAACAGCACTGGTAAGAATGGGAGAGTTATGAGAACATGTTCCGTGAGGCTGTTTTATCTGATTGAAATGTATCTGAAGTTGAGCCACCTCTTCTATACATTTTTTTGTTAGATTTCAGAAATTTTGAAAGGATGTTTCTGGGCTTGAATTTATAATCTTGCATGTCCACTTCTGTGAATTTTTCTGGAGTAGATCCATTCTTAAATGTACTAACTTTCATACTTTCCTGTCAGTTCTCTTCTCTGATGAAGAAAGATGTAAAGCATCCAAAACTTCCATTTCTCTGTCCCAGATGACTAAACCATATTACTGATTGTCTGGAGGAAACATCAGATTTCTTTCACAATGAATTTGAGTGACTATGGTTAAGTTTCCTCTGCTATTAGATAAATCAAATTTTTAGTGCTGTCAGGGAACTGCTGTGCTCTGAGTTGAGATGTGTTGCGGATTCTCCTTGCCGTCCATTTTTTCAAAAGGTATGCTGTTTCAAAACAGATATTGGCAAATACTAAATTTCATTTTCCTCTTAAACACAAAAACTTTGATTATGACTACAAGTAACGTTCAGTACAGTAAAACAAGTGAAAAGAAAGTCGTCTTTAATTTTGGTTCCTCTGGCAAAACTTTACATCTAATAATGACTGTGCTTTCTAAGCACTTTCTGCCTTTTCTCAGCTGTTTGAGAGAGATTACAGTGATAGCAGAGGAACAAGATAACCTTAAATAGAAATAGGCAAGCTGTTAATAAACAGTAGAACAGAGACTGCCAAACTTTCTGTGATAGAGTGGGAAATGAGGGTATGGTGGGAAGATATCAGAAACAATTACGAGCTTTAGAAGGTAATAATGAAATTAGGCCTTCTCTGAATCTTTTCTCTATTTGGAGAACTGGAATTTGATTCCTCTCTCATTTCAGTTGAAGGCCAGAGGGCATGTATATTATGTAGGCATTGCTCCCTTTTTCTTCAATAGCTGGGAGATCCATTTGAAATCTGTATTAGGATAGGGTAATTGCAAAAATAATTGATTTGTTCAAATAGTAATATTGATGAAGTTATCACTGAGCTTGCACTGTGGCACTGATACAACAGTTTTCAACTAGTATACCAGCTGGCGGAGACTTTTTTAAGGCAAGGTGTAAAACAAGTCTCCAGCATTTGCTGATGACAGACTTTTTTTTCTCCCCCACTGTTGTGCTTAGCAGGATTGTAATTTCATCAAATGTTGCCAGAATTGCTGTCTTAGATCTAATTGGTGAGGTAATTAGCTGATGTAATGTTCTATAGATCTATTTTGGACATCAGCTTACTAAAAGAGCTGATGATTTATCAGTTATTTTGCTTCTAACTTTGTTATGTAATCCCATTCACTCTTTCACGTGGATGAATTGAATGGGATCTTTTTAATGAAACCTGAAATTTCAGTTGGCTTTTTTCCTGGTTAAGTAAAATTGTTGCTAGTTAAAGTAGAAGTTTGAAGAAACTTCATCAGATTGTCTGTAGTTACGATTTTTTTTTTCAATGTCATGCTTTACATTTGCTTGAAATAATACAAAGTCTTGACATGCCTTACTGGAGTTAACCTGGTTTATGTGAGCTGGAAGTAATGAAGTATTACCCTGGGATAGTTGTGTTCAAAAAGCAATGCCTTTACAGATCTTACAAATCTGCTGCTACCTGTAAAATCGTGCCTATCATTACACATATCAAGAAAATATTTATGGCCCAGTGATAATTCCTTAAAGAAACTGACTTGCTAATTTAAATACATTGCTGATGACAGTTTTACTGTTTGTAATTCTTTGACCTGCTTTTCTGACCATCTGGGAAAGCAAGAAATTGCAGACATTACATATAAATGTCAAATAATAAGTAGAATCTAGCTATTTTTTTATTTGTGTGTTATACAGAGTTAAAGTAAGTGAACTCTTTAAGATGATGGAACAGCATTTTATAGACACTAGTCTAGGGTTAAATTTTGCAAATCTCTATCAGTAAGGTTATGAGTATAGAGCAATTGTATTGGCCTCAGTCCTTAGAATTGTAAGCTGAAAGTGTGCTGTTAGAAAATTACTTTAAACCTACATTGCATATTATGTTTAGTCTTGTAGAAAAACAGTTCCAGCTCTAGAAGAGGTACAAACTGATGAGTTTAAATAGAATTGTCACTGCCTGGTATTGATTAGTGGTGCAGAAAATGAAAGCTGTGAATGATGTTGCCCTGTTTTTAACAGGGCCTTGACTTTTAATGGGGGTCCTACTGACTGCCATACCTCATTTCGCTTGTCTAAGACAAGATCTTGTTCTGAGATACTGTTCTGTTAAGCTCTGCAGATGATTGGTATTGTTGGCCAAGTGGGCTTGAGAGTGATAAAGCCTTTTTAGCCCCCTTTTCCTGCTAAATCCATGCCTGCTAAATCTCACCTTTTATGAGATTATGCATGGTTGAGTTTGATGACATTTATATTGTTCTTTGAAAGACAGAAATAGATTTCCTTTGTGATTCTAAATAATTTTCTTCAGTCATTGAACTATGTAAGTTGCGTTAGCCAAACACTATAATTTTTACTTTTTAATCCTGCTCTTGGAGAGGGATTTTTTTTTCCAAGTCACACACAGGTGGTTTTTGCTTAATTGTAGGGTTCTGTACTTCAGCTCTGAAAAAGGAAAAAAAAATCTTTAAGAAATGCTTCTTAATTTTCCAAATTTTGTAGAGTTATTTATCTCTTAATATTTTTCTTTCATGTCATACTAATCAAGATTCTTTTTTGAAGTTGATGTAAGTTCAAAGTTTCAAAGCAAATAAAGTACTACTGTTTTCTGGGAAGCAAATGGGTACCTTTTGCTAATCTAAAGAGTAAGGTGTAATGTTCAGTTGACCAAGATATGCCGAAACTAAGAAATTATCTTAACGGAAATATAGAGAATGGTTTGCAGACTGTAAATTTTAATTACAGCTTCAACTGGGGCAAGTGCATTGTGACTTTTTGTCATTTTAGACAAAAATGCTGCTTATGGCATATAGGTGTGACTTAAATGTATTCCTTCCATGTCATTTACTCCAAAAGTTGGTCGTTCGAAAAGTAAATCTCATCAGATTCTGATACACAAATGTTCTTATTTCTCAGTTAATGGTGAGTCATCCACCTCTGCACCAGAAGCTGGTAATTCTTCTGTCTCTGAGGCTCCGATAGGTTCAGTCGAAGCTCCTGTGTCTTCAGATTGCACTAACACTACAGCAGAACCTCAGTCAACAACAGAAGCAACTACTTCTTCTGAAAGCCACACTTCTGCATTACCTGTTGTGTCTGCTGAACTAGAACCTACAGCTGCAACAGACTGTGCTCAACCTAATGCTAGAAACAGTATAGCAGCAGATGCAGCAAAACCAAGGGAATCCTCCTCCACCTCAAGTGCACCTGCAGAACCTGTGAGACAGCAGCCTGGTAACACCAGTACAGAACCTTTGCCACCAGGGTATGTGGGCTTGATTTTAACTCTATAATTACATTTCGTCTGAACGTGCATATAAAGAAACAGAAATTCAATTCTATACTGGGATTGCCAAATGCAGGTCAGTTGGCTGCGATGGGGTTATCTCATCTAAAATGGGTTATGTACTGCTGCTGTAACTGGCTAGTAGCTCTTATCCCAGAAAGTAACAACCGACAACTGATTTGCTGAGACGATATTGTGATCTAGACAAACTCTTCGGCATGATGGACGTGAAGACTTTTCATTTGATATATTCAGACTTACTTGGGTCACAACTTGTTACTCCTTTGGTTCTTAAACTATGAGAATGTAGTAGGGACCAAAATACAGAGAAGTGAAAATTAATAAAATAGTCGAGAAATACTTGTGGGTGCTTGCTGTGTAATAATGAGATCAGTAATGTTATAGATAAAAATTCAGATTTGAAGTGTGTGTATGTGCTCAGAATAGCTAGAAACTTTTGATTCTACTAGGCTGTTAGAAACTACTTTTGTAGTCCTAAACCTTAAATGCAAAATTAAAGATGTGCTTAGACATTAAATGAAAATATAGTACACGCTGAAATATATACATTGATCTTAAAAATTTTTTTATAGGTGCTTTCATGTTTGGGTTAAAAGATGTCTTCAGTGACTAATTGGAAATACTGACGTTTTTGTAATATTCTAAATATTGACTATTGTAGCATTTTCTGAACACAGAAATTGTTTCTTAACCCAAAGTGTATATACCTTGTGTCATTGTAGCTGATCTTTTAGAGATCCTGTCTTGTACCTGTTCCCTCTGAAGGAGGTTCAGTAAGTCATTAATGACAATTCACTTGAGTTTCCGCAGTTGAATAAACATGAAAAGAAGCATTTAAACACATAGCAATATTTTATATATATTGTTGGGGAACAGTTACAAAGTTTTTAATTTTCAGATGGTTTGACAATGAAAGCTCTTTGTAGGTGGGAATTCCTGTGGTCAGCTCCCCTCCACACAGTCTTTTTTTAAGAAAAAATTAATTACATGCTTTCCCGTTGAGGACAGGGTCATGAATTCCAGACATAGTGCACACCATGGCCAAATGCATTTCTTCATCATTCCTCCCTAATCACGTTTCTGTGTGAGGTTTTTTCTTGTGGTTCCTGTCTACCTCCAGCAGCCTCCAAATCTAGTTGAGTCTCCATTATGTTCAGCCCTAGTAACTCTGTAACAGGTTGCTGCTCCTCTCTTATCTTATTATAATCTTAGCATTTAATCTCTTGAACTGCAGAAAACATTTTGTAGGAGTTTTGTAGGATACTCTGTAATAGTGAGGAAATGCACATCAAATTGTATGAGTAGCAGGCAAGGTGTTCTGCCTACATTTTTAGGAGCAAATGAATTATGTATATAAGAAAAACATATGTCTAATGCAAGCAAGAGCTTCAGCTTTTCATCTAACTTTTATCCTGATTTCCTCTCCCATTTATAAATACTTTTTTTGCATTATGCCATTTCTTAACAGCGTGAAACTTCAGTTGTTTATAATGTTTGGTCCTCTCTCCATCTTCAGTGTAGTTTGCTTTGCAACTAAAACTGAAGAAATAATCCCCAGGCATATCAGATAGAGAGTTTACCAGGATAGGAAACAGAAATACAAAAAAGCTATCTGATAGCACACATTTTGGGTTCACTCTGAAAGATCCTGTTGTTTGTTGGATATAGGGAACTGTGCTTCAAAATCTCAACTCCTTCTTTTTTTGAGAGAGGCATGAACTTGGAAATCAAAGAATGCATCTCTAAGCACTTTTCAAACGAGGTTATTTTAGTGTGTAAGCCTTGAGTAGATAATTGACTTTGTTTTCAGATATCTTAAATAGAATTTGAAAATGTTTGCAAATATTGATGTATGCTCATTTTATATACCAAGTCCCTTAAAAAAGTCTTCATGGTGATATTAATTCAATAGAAAGTAGCTGATATGTATTCTAGTGTGAGTTTAGAATGAGTTTTGGATGATAGTATTTTCATTCAATACCAGGGTACTTTTTGGCTTAGTGCGAAAGAAATCCTAAGGAAGCATTGTCACCTTGACTTACATGAAAGTCTTTTTGTCTTGAAGGTGGGAGCAAAGAAAGGATCCTCATGGTAGAACCTATTATGTTGATCACAACACACGAACTACAACGTGGGAAAGACCACAACCCTTACCTCCTGGGTAATTTAGACTTTTTTGATTTAAATATGGTAAAGGTACTATTTTGTTGTTTGTTTGTTTGGTGCGGGAAAAATACTGACTTTTATAAGCAGCTCATCGAAACTGCATTATACATCATATATGAAGAAATTCTAGCTTTGAGTTAATTTAGAATTACATTAATTGCAGCTTTTGTTATAGGAATGTTGGTACTGGATATGTTGCTTAGTCTGTTCACTTGTTCAAATAGAGCTACTAAATTATTTTGTTCTTCCTTTAGAACTTAAGCATTAAATAATGCACATTTGACCACCCTTATTTAGGTGACACCACTAGGTGTAGTGCACTGGTTCCAAACCTCGGATTTCCAGGCAAAGTGTTTTCTATGAAACCTGCCAACATTGCTTATGGTCAGGAATTTATAAAGTTAAAAATGAGGCAGTGGAGACCTGAGCGTGCTATTGCTTGAAGTATATGTTTGCCTAATGTGGTTGTCCTTCTACCAATAAAGATGGGGAGTGCTTTTGTGTACTTTAGAAATTAAAATGATGCCTGTGACTCCAGTATTTCATTCAAGTACTGTCTAGGAATTTAGTATGAAGAGAAAATCAGTTATGTAATATTACTGAAAAATTTAGCTGTTAACAGTTGTGTTTCTTGAAAGCTGGGAAAGAAGAGTTGACGATCGAGGGAGAGTTTACTATGTGGACCACAACACCAGAACAACGACATGGCAGCGACCAACAATGGAATCAGTCAGGAACTTTGAGCAATGGCAGTCTCAACGGAATCAACTGCAGGGAGCTATGCAACAATTTAACCAACGATACCTCTATTCGGTAACTTTTACATAAAATTTAGAAATCAGTAGAGAGGTATAGATATACTTTTTGTTCTTTAACTTTCTCTAAAGTGATTTTGTAACTGTTCAACCGTATGTGTTACGAGATGTTTGGCATCAGTAATTCAGATTCTCATTCTGTTGAAAAATATTAACAAAAATCATCCTTAAAGGCAAAAAGTACTCCCTGCTGAGTCTGTTCTCTAACTTGAACCTTGTGTACTGCATGATACTTAAGACTTTTAATGCCAGTAATAAGAGTTAAAACTAAAGCAGTCCCTTAACTGAACAGGAACATAAGAGCTGAGTTATGGGCATTTTGAACATTAAATGGCCTTCAAAACTGTTTCAGTGATTAGGAGTCATTCATTAGTACAGGTGACAGTTCTTTTACTTTGAGCTCATTTTGAGGCTTATGCACCTGGTTCAGCTCTGAAATTTCCTACATAGTTTTCCATTTCTCTTGGCTAGTTGCTCAGTTACTTCTACCTGAAGAAAACATCATGAGTAGCTTCAAAGAAGATATTTCTTGAGACAGATTTTTCCATCTGTGACTGGGTAATTAGGATAGTTACTTTTCAGAGTTGAAAATGATGATGCCTGCATGTCACTGTCACTCTAAACAGTCCATTTTAAGAATTGTGCTTGGTGTCTTAAAAAAAAAAAATCCAATCCCAGAGACTTTGTAAGTGATACGTAGCAAAGCTGGAATGTTTTAAAGAAGAAACCATTGAAGTACAAGTCTGAAACAGCTTCATCGGACTAGGACTCTGTGCATCCACAGACCTAACTTTGCTTTGAATTTGCTGGACTTTATTCAGGTACTCCTCTGAAGTAAAGGATGGTGCAGTATTCTTACGTTTAACAGTTCTCAGCCTCTTGTTATCTAATTAGACATTATATCTCATCACTAGCAAGAGCAGAAACATGCATCATCACTAATTTTCTTAACTCCTGGAGCTGTGCATCAAAGTCAATCTATCTTATGCAATTAGAGAAAGATAGAATGATTCAGGTTGGCAGGGACCTCTGGAGGTCATCTGGTCCAACCTCCCTGCTCAAGCAGGGCCACCCAGAGCTGGTTGCCCAGGACCATGTCCAGGTGGCTTCTGAATATCTCTAAGGATGGAGGCTCCACAGCCTCCTGGGCAAGCTGTGCCAGTGCTCGGTCATCCTCACAGTGAAAAAGTGTTTGCTGATGTTCAGAGGGAACCTCCTGTGTTTGGCCTTGTGCCCGTTGCCTCTGGTCCTGTCACTGGGCACCACTGGAAAGAGCCTGGCTTCATCCATTTTGCATCCTCCTTCAGGTATTTATAGATATTGGTAACTTTTAATGCAAATCAAAGAATCACAGCCGAAACATACCAAGCCAGGAACTCTCCCTGAGCAACTTTCTGTACTTGTGTACTACTTTGATCAGTTGCTTAAACATCTAAGAAAACTCTCACTTTTCTGGATCCCAAGATTTGTTTTGTTTTGAGCTAGGTTTATTCTCTCAGAGAACAATGTATTTTTTAAATTAAATTATGTTCCTTCCTTCATATAATGATAACACTTACTGAAAACCACAGACTCATTTCTTCCAATGTCCTATCTACCTTAGAATCATTAAATTAGCATTTGTTTGTGAGACAGTATATACTTGAAGGAAGAGAAAAGATAACTCGACTGTTTGCATCTCTTTAGAATTCTGTTTTCTAAGTAATGTATCAGTTGCATACCTAGAACTCACATTTTGTTGGTGGAAAAAACCGAAATTATATTGAAAAAAGTGTGAATGCTTTTAAAATTTTTTTTATTTTACTTCAGTGGTGCTGTATACGTATAGAATTGTTAAGGTCAAACTACAGCTAATTTTTCACTTCTGGTGACATACTAGGACTCTGCCTATATAGCAGTTTATAAGTGAGCTTGTGATTTCGTTTTTTTGGGAAAAAGTGAATTAATGCTTTTAATGAGTAAGAGAATGTTTCAGTTACCTGAAGTGGTCAGAGCTAAACTATGTGAAGGAAGAAAAATAGATAGGATAGAGGTATATTAGTTACTTTTATTTTTCCTGGGTTAATGTATTGTACTCCTTTTGGTATTGAAACTGGCTCATCCCCTGCCACTGTCTGATGTTTCAATGTGTTCTTTGAAATATACATTAGTCAGCAGCCACACACAAATCCTTGGACCCACTAAGAAGACTGGAAATCTCTGAATTGTGCCACCATTCAGTTCTTTGGCAGACAGCGTTTACTTTTGTGCGCTATTCTTTTTATACTCACCACAGAGAAGTCTTTGGTTACAGGGTCATTGTGACTGTATAGTTTCCAAAAGCAGAAAAGGCTAACTCCAGTTGCTGCTGAGATAATGATGATTCTCTGTTCACATCTAGTAGCTGGTGGCCAGAACAAAGAGGCGGCTTGATTTTGAGTGTAACTATTGCATTTTCTTCTGATCCTTGTTCTATTTCTGTTTCACAGGAAAAATGTGGTAGCTTTTTTTGCCTGAATTTACTGTTGTAAACTCTTAAGTGAATTTGAGATTTTTGGATTGCAAATGCTATATAAATCAGTCTTAGTAGATCCTTAAGATACTCTTTGGAAAATGTAGATTAGTTCCTATATATCAAAATTCTATTCTGCACAAAAAAAAAAAAAAAAAAAAAAGTGAGAATTTTAGTGTCCAAAAAATTTTAGGAGGTGGATGCTTTTAGTTATAAATCAGAGTGTGGATCCTATGGTCTGGGGGATTTCTGCCTTTTATTTTTCCCATGTTTTGTATTCTTGGAAGCTACTGGTGGACTTCTGCAAGGTTACAGTATATTATGAGCTTAGCATGGTTTTACATAATGATTTAATCTGGGTTTTTTACATATTTTGTTCCTTTTAACCTTACCATATGTTGGTATAATTTTAACCATCTTTTATATTTTAATGAATGCAGCTGCATTTGCAAAGAATGACAAAGTCTGAAAATAACCAAACATCCAGGGAAGACGTCATGTATTGAGGAAGCAAAAAACCCTATGTTGGCAGTAGTCACTGTGCTTAGAAATGTTTATTATGGCAAAGCATGTTCTTGAGCAAGAACATTGTGCTTATCTGCTTATACGTGCTTCCGCAAAACTTCTAGGAACTATACATCTTCAAAACCACTGACTGACTTTCATGTTTGCTGTAGGAAGGGAAAGGGAGGGTACATTGGGTTGGAAACAGTGAAGGCAAGGGCGCAAATCATCTCTTATTATCATATAATCTAAGTTTCTTCACAAAAACAGTCTAAAAATGTCATGATGTTTTTTTTCAGAATGAATAGTCTTCAGAACTAGTGGTTCATTAAGGAAAAAAATATATGAAAAATATTTGGCCTAACTGGATATCCCCTTGTTTTTAAATAGGCTTCAATGTTGTCAGCAGAAAATGATCCACTTGGGCCTTTACCACCAGGTTGGGGTAAGTTAATTAGCTGTTGATTGCCAGAAGTGACAGAGAAATTTGGAATGCAATTGTTGTATAGTGGGTTTTTTTCTTTTTTTCCCCTAGAAAGGAGAGTGGATTCAAATGATAGGGTGTATTTTGTAAATCATAACACAAAGACAACACAGTGGGAAGACCCTCGAACTCAAGGGTAGGTGTGTATATTGACTGTGTGGATAAAAAGATCTTGTGTAATTCTTACATGTCAAGATATGGGAGAAAAAGTACTATCTGCAATTTCTTCTGCAGTTTACAAAATGAGGACCCTCTTCCAGAGGGCTGGGAAATCAGATACACGAGAGAAGGTGTCAGATACTTTGTTGACCATAATACACGAACCACCACCTTCAATGATCCTCGTACTGGGAAATCTTCTGTGTAAGTGAGAAATTAAATATATTTTTTAATGTTTTAATGTGTTATAGTTTAATAATGAAGTCTTCTCATACTAGAAAACAATCTATACTTTTAGATGGAATTGAGCACTAAATTATGAACAAATTGTTGTCCTGTAAATTTAGCCTATTTTTAAGCTTTAATCATCAGTTTATCTATGACACACTTTGCTGTACTGCTCTAAGGTTCAGTAGTTTTTATACACTTTTCAAATACCAAGATTGTAATTGTTTTATAAATAGAGAGGGAAAGTACTGTATTCAATATTGAACTAATGTAACTAATAGTTAAATTTTTAAAGAAACAGCAAATGATTGTAATGAGTATTGCTTATAGTTATACACCCTTTAGCAACATTAACGTGTAAACAAAGTAGTTCTAAATACTTTTCCAAAATTTTACATGCAAATCTTTTTAAAAACAGTTTAGTGAGAGGTATTGAGCCAAACTATGGTGACTGTCTTAATGTTTTTTATGTAGGGTGGATTTACTTCTGATGACATGTTGATGACCTTTCATTCAATGAGCCTATAGACTATTGTACTAGAAATTCCTTCATAGTTTCACAAGCAGCTGAGTTTATGAAGCCTAATTTAGCAGCCTTTCTCTCAGTGATGACAATAAATTAGATGTCTCTTCTTTAACTGGCTTGTAATTTTTACAAAATTGATAGGAATTTGATATCCTCTAGATCTATACCTTTCTCTCAAATTTGCTAAATATACTAACATCTTAAAGAAAGAAAGTTGGGGGAGCAGAAAGGAAGACTGGCTGACCAAACCATCAACTGTATTTTGTTTCTGATCATATCTTATAATAACAATTTTTGTGTATTTTTGAAATCTACATGCTGTTGTTTAGCGTTGAAAGTACTGTTTGATGTCTGTATGGTTAAGGTATCTCAAATATGTTTCCTTACAGAAATAAAGGGCCACAGATTGCTTATGAGCGTAGCTTTAGGTGGAAACTTGCTCATTTCCGTTACTTGTGTCAGGTACTGATTAAGTAATTATTTACTTTTTGAAACTATTTGAATTTACATTTATATATGCTGCCTTTTAACATTATTGCCTTATGATTACAGTCAAATGCACTGCCAAGTCATGTGAAAATCAATGTATCCAGGCAGACTTTGTTTGAGGATTCCTTCCAGCAAGTAAGCCTGCAAAGATTGTTGTGTTTATCAAGACCAAGCATAAGAACAAAAACGTCCATAGCCAATTCAGACTAATGGTCCTTCAGGCAGTGTAATCTTCCTCTTGTATTAGCCAAAGGGGGATTCTTAGGGAAGACTGCAAGAACAGAAGTAATGTATAGAATACTTTTAACAAATGATTTTTCAGCTCCCAACTGTTTACAATGGAAATGCTTCTTGAGCTTGATGTGGTTTCTGGGTATTTTAATAATCCTCAAGGGACTTCTCCTCTGTGAGCTTGTCTGTACTCCTCTTGTGAACTTTTTGCATCTACAGCGTCCTGTGGGAAAGAGTTTCGTAGCTTGACCACATTGCATACCATATTAACTTAACCACATCAGATTTGCTTTTCTGATTCTTGTGTGTGGTTATATACATTACAAAATGTTATTTTCTCCAATTAAAACTGGTGCCCTGCTCAGTCTTTCAAACATTAAATCTGTGTAATTGATGTTTACAGTTCTTGAGCTCTTATAGTCTGCAGCTAATGTATGTTCCTTCCTTCTGTCCCTGTAACAATGAAAATTCTTACCACTGTCACCACATCAAAACCTCTTGGGAGGGATTCTCTATAAGTAAAAAGTACATTATTAATGAAAGTATATTACGCTTATTTTGGATTAGAGTGAATTACTTTTTTAAGTGATTTGCCTAAAACCAAGTATCTGTAATATATCAGATGAAATGCCTTTTCACCTGTTTTCCTTTAATGATAATGAATGCCTTAGGAAGAACATAAGAACAGGGCAACTGTATAGTGATACTTTCCAGATATGCTCTCCCATTTGTTAGCACTGTGCTGCTCAAGGATTTTAAGTCCGAGTTGGTATTTTTGGGTGCGGTTTATTGTTTGCATGTTGCATGAGATGGTGTAATTGCTTGTCAAATCTGTGCAAACATTTGACATATACGGCATTTCTGTATCAATTACATAAAATTTGAATAAGAAGGAGGGATTGTATTGACAATGCATAATTTATAACTCATTACAAGTTTTGTTTTATTTCATAGATTATGGCATTAAAACCCTATGATTTGAGGAGAAGATTATATGTTATATTCAGAGGAGAAGAAGGATTGGATTATGGTGGCTTGGCAAGGTAAAAGAAAATTTGTTTAAAATAGTTTTTATTTTTTAGTAGCATGCTAACCTTGATTTCTAATGTCATTCTGTTGGCAAACAAACTGCTTGCTTTTGCAGTCTGACGCTGGTTACCTTTTTAGCTCCCCTTAAGGAGGTGGAACTGGCAGCACTGGCTGTTGTTTGGGTTATAACCTTGCATTAGTATCATACACAAAGTGCATTTAGTCTGTTGACCATACAGAAGACAACCACTGACTACTGCTGCCAGTTACTTGACTGAAATGTTGCTACTAGGATGAAAATTTCAGTACTGCTGCAGATCCAGGGAATTAGAAGTAGTCATAAGTGATAGAATTTTTCTTGTTTGGTTGTTTTTTTAATGTAAAGGTGTTCTGTTTTGGTTTTGTTCTTTTTTTATGTAGCTTACTGTTTTAAAATGAAGTTCAGTGAAAATGTGTAGTATTTATAAGTAAGGAAGCTTGCCTCTGAAGGTTGACCTTCTTTGGATATGCAGGTGGTTATGCTTCTGAATTACAATGTCTGATAGGCTTTTGGGGGATGGTTGCAGGGAGGAATCTGAGTTTTGCTTTGCATGTATTTTGTTTGGTTGGTATCCTTGTCATGATGGCCCTAGGCATCAGTTGGGAACCAGGAGAGTTCGAGTAATCTGTTCCAGAGAAACAAAGTATTCCAAAGAAGTGCTGTTAGAATAATTTAACTGAAGAGTGTTAGTCACAGAAAGTAGCAGAATAAATAACAAATACATAAGTAGTATCATTTCATAGTTTTGGGAATAAGTCTTGCCCAAGATCTTGTATGAGAAACTGAGAAGCAGCAACGATCTCATTGTACCTGGAGCTGAGAATTCTTAAGTGAGACTGAGCAAATGTTCATGTACTGACTTGCTGATGTAACACTCTATTAATACAAATATAGAAAGCTGATGCACCTGATTTATCACCTGTCTCTCAGCAGGCTAAACTCAGTGTTCCCTCCAGATTTTTACCTCGTGTTTAGCAGGACCAATCTGACACTACGTCCTGTGTCTAGTTCTAGCTGCCGACGTGGAAAATTTATTGCTTCTGCAAACTTCTTGTTGATGACTGATTTCTTTGATTCTTCCCTTGTTATCTGGCTTTGATCTAATTTAAATGCCTATTAAATTTGATGCTTCTATGCAGAGTCAATATAATTGTCTCAGTTTAAAACTTGCATAGAATGCTTTACAACATTCTCCTGCTTATTAAAAGACACACAGAACCCCATTAGGGTTATCATATCCTGATTGCCTTTCTCTGTTTACTCTTTCTACTTGGCCTTTGGGTTTAAAGCATATTGCAGTGAATCATGATCCATGACTTGAGTTTCATAGAACTGTTAGGAGAAACATACCAGCAAATATCTCATTTCGATTCCCTGATCTCAGGTAAATGTAGGGATAGAAAGGTGCCTCTTAAATGTGACAGCTGAAAGGCAGTCATGACGGAATTCAGTCCCTGAAGTAGTTATAAGATAGACTTTTAGCTTTTTTTGTGGCTTTTTCCTAAGCCTGGTTGTTTAATTCCAAGCATTTAGGGTCTGATACAAAAACTCCTTGAGTATATATGACTGCTTCTGAGGTCTCTGATTATATGCCAATACTATAAAGCAACAACTGTTCTAAAAGTCAGCTATCCTAATACTGAAATACCAGATTCTATTATTATTTCAGGTCAGCTGAGTCGGAAACTATGAAAGTGCTTAATAACATGTATTAGTTAAACCTCAACAAAAAAAATACTTTCACATTGTCATGTCCTGATGCATGGTAATTTGTTAAACCACAGTAACTCAGTACGTGTTCTGCTGTCAGATTGGGAAAGCAAATAAGGTGTGCTGTGGTTTGGGCTTTTTTGTTTTGTTTTGTTTTACCTAGTTTGTTTATAATAAGCACTGCCCATGGAATGATCTGTAATTTTTTGAATAAAGATCTGAGTTGTATGCAGTAAAGCAGGCATGAGGAGGATAAATACTGTGTACTGGTTGAGGCAAGGACTCTGGAGGCAATAATGTTACTAATATGCAGCTAAAACCTGTGCTATGAGGGTGTGTTCAAGGTGACAATCCTAACAATCATTTCTAAACTTTGGAAACCGTGACTTTCTAACATTATTGTTTTTAATAATGATATTTTTTATATTTAAGAAGTATATAATTCCTTATATTATTCTGTGATTCTAATACAACACTGTTTATGTTATTTTTCTAAGTTTGAATATATTTTGACCATTTTGCTAGTTACCTAAGGGGAATGGTGATAAACATCTGTGTTTGATGGTTTTTATGTGTATACATGTTTTTTTTCCTTAGAGAATGGTTTTTCTTGCTTTCCCATGAAGTACTGAACCCTATGTACTGCCTATTTGAATATGCTGGCAAGAGCAACTATTGCCTGCAGATAAATCCAGCATCAACAATCAATCCTGACCATCTTTCATATTTCTGTTTCATTGGGCGCTTTATTGCCATGGTAGGTTAGATTTTTAAGGTTTTATTATTTGCTGTAGTTATACATTTATTCCTGAACAGTATTTATTTTTACAATTATTAAAGCTTGTATTACTCTCTTAGAAATGGAAGATTAAGGCATGTAAGGTTATTGAGCCAAAATATTCCCTGAGAATTAAGTCTCTTACACACTCAAGTTTCCTGGGATAGTGATGAAAGTTAATATGACTTTCAATATAATATTTTATTTTTATCAATTGGATGTGTGTACTTCATGCAACCCAGTGTTTGATTGAGTGTCTGAATACTGATGCTCTGAAAAATGTGACTAGTATTTTCTGAAAAAGTCTCTTCCGTTAGACTTGTTATACCTTACTGTATTTGAAAAAATGAGTTTGAAATGTTTTGCAGAGTACACTGAGCCTTAATTTAAACGTATGTACTTGGATACAAAGGTCAGATACTGAAGAGGGCAGAAGCTGGCAGGGAGGTGGTTCTCTGACATCAGGTTTCTCTTGAACTAAAAGCTGATGAGGCATGTTGTATCATTTCTTCTTCTTGTATCACTGAGTCAGTTTTCTATAGTGGACTCCTGCTCTGTCCCATTTCTTTCCTTCCATGTAGTGATACAGTCATCTTTCCACATAATCATCATGATGTCTACAGGTAGTCCTCAGCAACATCCCTGAACATGGTGAACTGTGAAACCAAGAAGAGTAGATAAGATTGAAGAGACTGTCGTCTGCTCCTGTTGTTCAGGCTTTTTGTATGAAATTAGAGTAAATACAAGCAAAGTGTAATATAAACAGAAAAATACTTTCAGACTTTAAATTAGGTTTGGGGGTTTTCTTAGTTTTGCTTTTCTTATAGATGCTTCTTGAGAAACAAATTTGTTCAGTTTTGATGACAACATCTCTGATTTTGAGGATTTTATGGCCAAGTTTCCCATTTCTCTGTTGTCATGAAAATTTATTTCATTGGGTTAATACTTTCAATAGACTGCCAGCATTTTTCTTTCTTTTAGAATCCTCAGCAAACTATAACGCCATTTAGCAGGAAGACGTGATAAAGCCACTTAGGTGCTAGAGCCAAATTCTGTTTCTTTTAGTCAATGATTTTTGATCTTGCACGTAAGATAAATGCAAAATTGAAACGTTAACTTCAGGAAAACGACTTCATAAAAGTACAGTTCATAGAAGAGAACTTAATTAAAGCATGTAATGTAATTAAAAGACAAAATTTTATTTCCTGAAGTATTTTTGTATTTTTATTTTCAATTCTCCAAGGAGGGGGGAGAGAGAGGAGATCTATGTAATGGTGCCTAATGTGGTCAGGTTCAAGGTTTGAGTATTTTCATGGTTTATAACAGATGGTACTTCCTGCAGTACTTCCTGGGATACCTTCTAGTGGTTTAAAATAGCTCAGGTAATAACGTAAGTGGGAATCATGTTAAGGAGTCTAGATAGGCTTTTTAAGTGCAACTGTACTTTCTGTCGTTCTCACAGTTCTGAAATAGTTGTGACTTCTTTTGGGTTTAAGTACTGAAATAATCACAGACATTTTTGACTGAAACAGAGGTAAACAAAGAATACGCATCTTCTTTTGTAACAAAAAGCTGTTAAATGATGTTGGCTGAGGCAACTTTCATATTTTGCTGGAAGATTATCATAGACATTAAATGAGATGATTTAAGAGTGTACTTTTTAAAAAAGTGGGAAATTGTATGGCTACATGCTGCACTTGACATTTAATTTTTCTGTTTCTATCAGCTCACTGTCCCATGAGAAGTATAGACTAGTTTAATAATAAATACACAAATAAATAAATAAAGGCCTCAGAGAGAACTTTTTAAGCCTTGCTAAAGCAGAAGATACATGCTAGAGTAAGCCTTAGGGTGGAAATTAGAAGGTGGGGAAAAAAATGGAGCCTTGCCTTTTTCTAGAGGAAATGGGCTGTTACATTGGCTCTTCTGCTCATAGAGTTTCAGCTGTAAGGAAGGACAAGCAATGAATGCCATTCGTGGCCTATGTTTAGGATGATTTTTTAAAGAGGTATTTTAGCAAAGAAAGTGTATTTGATAAGGATGAGGAAAAAAAGTTTTCATAGTTATAGCTGTGCTCTGTTAACTCTCAGATGCACTGAGTCAGTATAGAGGTTAACACTGTGTGTGTAATGCTGTACTTCAGCACTAGAACATAGCTTACACCCTTTGTGCATACATGGTGAGACAAGTGTGACTATGTTTCTTTTTTTTCAATTTAATTTTTGCAGTAGAAGGGAGAATCTTATTTCTCAGTTCTGTTACTCACCTATAAAAAAATGTGATTCGCAAAGCTCTTTTTGAAGCAGTCCATGATTGCATTTTTAAACTCTTTTTTACAAGCAGCAGTCGCATTGTGTAAAGGGTGATTTTGCAGGATGTATGTATGTAGTAAAAAATGCCAGTAGAACTCAAGTAGGATCAAATATTATGATCAGGTAGGATCAAATAATACTTGGCATGTAAACCTATCCACATGATAAAAAAGAAACTTAGTAATTTCCTCTTTTCATAGACCATCCTTTTATGAGAAGTTTTTTTTAATCAAAGAATTTCTAAATGGTATTGTTAACATATGCTTGGATAAATTTTGTTAATTAATCATTTTTTTCCTTCCCATTTAATGTATTATTTTGTTCTTTTCAAATACCAAGCTGCTACTGCTACTTGGTGCTTTTTATTATTTGAAGGAAAAAGGAAAAAAAGAATTCAAGTCCAGAAGTACTTCAGTGATTCAGTAGTTCAGTAAAAGCTAAACAGACTTTTTTATGTTCAACAGGCATTGTTTCATGGGAAATTTATTGACACTGGTTTTTCTCTGCCTTTCTACAAACGAATGCTGAGCAAAAAGCTTACTATTAAGGACCTAGAATCTATTGATACTGAATTTTACAACTCCTTAATTTGGATAAGGTTTGTAGATTATTTTTGTGTATGTGTGATGGTTTATGGATTATTTTTTTTTGTCTATATAGAATTCATTGCACTTTTGTTTTCTTTTCATTCAGGGATAATAACATCGAAGAGTGTAACTTGGAAATGTACTTCTGTGTGGATATGGAGCTCTTAGGAAAAGTAACCTCACATGAACTGAAATCAGGAGGTTCAAATATCTTGGTAACTGAGGAGAACAAAGAAGAATATATTGGGTAGGAAGATGTAGATGCTGAAAAAAAAGTATCCCATGTTTCTTCTGTTGCTCTGTTGCTTTTGACACAGTATATGAATCGTTTTTTTCTTTTTTTTTTTTCCCCCCCCTCTTACTGTGTAATTCTTGGGACTATTATTGAAATGGTATCTTAGTACATTTTGGTATCTTGGTACCCGTGATCTCTTGGTACATTTTGATCTCTCCTATTCCACTCTTCCCCCTCCCCCAACCCCCTGCCAATGAGAAAAACAAAAAAAAGAAAAAAAGAAAAAAAAAGGAGACCATATTGAGAGAAGATGACCTGTCTTGTTATTACATGTACGAGAAAACTGCTGAAACTGAAAATAAGCAAACCTATTTTCAGTAACTTCAGGTAATAAATCCAGGTGGAGGGAAGACTTGTATTTGACAGGTGATTTCAAAATTGTTCAGAACTTTGCTGTCACTGTGGAAACTGAAATTCAGAATGGTGTATAATGTGGTGTAACTTAAACTATTTTTTTCTTTGTTCTGTTATGCTGCTCTTTCCTGCTTCTCTCCTAATCTTATCACTGCCTTTCTTTTTCTGAACCTGTATTTCTGATCCATCTATTCAGAGTGATCTCAAAAGCACATGTACACAGATCCTTTTCTGTGATACAGTGTATATCCTGTGCTGCACATAAAGTTCCTACTTAAATTAGCAGTCATTAGTTTCTCAGTGAAATAGTTTCTATAGTATGCATATATATTTATTGTCTTTTTTTTTTATTCAGAAGTGGCTTGACCATTTCAGTTGAAACTTAAAAAACGTTACCTCTTCCTCCAAATCTTAGCATAAATAATATGGAGCTAAATCCAGTTGGTGGCCAGT